TTAAAGAACGGAAGCATTACTGAATGATACCTAGGCTTAACAAGCAAAACACTAAGCCAGCTCCAGTCACTAATCAGGGCCAGAAATAAGAAACAGGCATCTTGGCCTACCAGGCAGGCGACAGGAGCAGCCAAGGCATATAGAAGGGTGTCTGGTCTAAGCCTGCTCAGAGGTTACCACCAAGGTCACACTAATCCAGCCAGGACAATTGTTGTTAGCCACCATATACTAGGCCCTGAAACATGGCATCCCCAGGCACAATGGGATCAGAGTCTTATGATTCTTAGGGTATTCATTAACTGAATTTTTTGGAAGTGGTTCACCAGACCTTTCTTCCTAGTCTGTCTTAGTCTGGACGCTCTACTGAAACCTGTTCAGTATTGTAGTAACACACAAACCTCCACTAACAGATGAATGTCTGCTCTTGAGGTGCATTGGCCAGGAATTTTACCAAGGACACTCACATCAAAAAAACCAACATGCACATAACAAACAACAAAACAAACTCACTGCTGTCGAGTCAGATCTGACTCATAGCCACTTGGGTTTCTGAGGCAATATCACTATGGAAGTAGATAGCTCAATCTTCTTTCCAAGGAGTCGCTGGTAGGTTTGAACCACCAGCCTTCTGGTTATCAGTCAAATGCCTAAGGTACTACGGCACTAGAGCTCCTAACATGCACATATTGTGACTTATAGTGACCCTATAGGACAGAACAGAACTGCCCCATAGGGCTCTCAAGGCTGTAAATCTTTGCAGAAGCAGACTGCCTCATCTTTTTCCTGTCGAACATCTGGTGTGTTCAAACCACCTGCCTTTGGGTTAGTAGCCCAATGCTTTAATCAGTACACCACCAGAGTTCCTGAACTGTCACACAGAAGGCAAGAATTCTCCCACTAAACCACTACTGCCCCACCCAGTGCTGATATAAGTTGGAAAAGGAAGTTGAGTATGAATCCACAAGGATCCTATCAGGATATCTACATAAATAATGAATAGTAACTTATATTTGATTTTCACAACAGAATGTGTGTTTGTGGGGGGGTGGTAATCTTTAATAGACCTATTTGTCATCCTCACATAATTCCACATTAAAGAACCCTTTTAGGTATAAATACACAGGCATGCACTCACGTGTCACACAGACTCTCCACTGAAGTGCACTTTTTAAAGTACTCTAGTCAAGGCTTTGGCACTGCAAGTTGGCAAAACCAGTAAATAGGGCCATTTATAGAATTTTGCCTCAAGGTTTCTTTTGCTTGGGTATGCTACACATTATAATTACATTTGAGAATCCCCAAACCTAAGATTTTCAATAATCAACAGATGCAGCTAGAGATCATTTCCAGAATTGGCAGGAGTGAAGAAATTTGTTTTGCCCTACTCTGTGTGGAGCTTTTTAATGTTAGGCAATGTTACCTCCTCACTTATATTTATCTTTAGCATGTCTCTCTCTTACATGGACACTAAGAATAGATGATTAAAATCCCATTTGTGAAACTATGATGTAACCCACAACAGCAGTTGCCATTTATAAAGTATTTACAACGTAGCAGACACAGTGCTAGGCATGTTCTAACATACATGCTCTCACAGCAAAATAAACATTAATTTTGTTTTAAAGTAAAGCAAACTGTGGTTTAGCTTGAAGGTTCCATTAATTTTGACAAGGTCACACAGCTAGCCAGGTTCAAGCCTGGAATTTTAATCAAAGGCCCTGAGTTCAAAGCCCACCTTGATACAAAGAGGGGTTCTAAACCAAGAGTCTACTGATAGTAAAACACAGAAAAAATGGAATGAGGATGAGGATGAGGATGAGGATAATAGTAGTAGTAGTTGTTGTTGTTGTTATTTGCCATTGAGTCGGCCCCGACTCATAGCGACCCCTCCTTGGGTTTCCGAGGCAGTATCACTACGGAAGTAGGAATGCCCAACCTTCCTTCCGAGGAGTGGCTGGTGGGTTTGAACCGCCATAATAATAATAATAGCTATTCCTGATGTAATGCTTACTGGTGTGCTGGATACTATCCTAAGTACTACATTTACTCATTTAATACTTACAAAAACCTTATGAAGTAGGCACTATTCCCATTTTATAAATGAAGAACTATAGTACTGAATTAATTTGCTATAGGCACAACACTTTTGCTTATGGACTCAATATTTTAAGTTACAAAGTCTGGTGAGAGTGGTTGCCCTTTAACAACTTTTAGGAAAAGGTACATGATTATATTCAAAACAAAACAATAAAAAACAATATTATGAGGGAATACACAAAGTGGAAAACACGAAGGAGCAAGATCCTTGGCTCATTGTAAAATCAAACATGTAAGCTTTTGTCCTGTTCTGATTCATAGAAGTTCAAATAACACCATTGCGGTTATCATGTAATCAGTCTCAACTCCTACTTTTCCATAATTAGAGACAACTTTAGAAATGCCCTTAAGGTGAAGGGAGCTAAGTCCAAGAGCAAGCCAAAACACCTGCCTTTGCTTTACGACTATGGACTAGACTATCGAATGTGAACTAATGACTTGCATTGTGATTTCCACTCAGTGTTTCATCACAAAGACTGAAGACATATTTAAAATACTGCTAATTGTGTATGCAAAGATCAGATATTGTTCTTCAAAAGTGAGCACACCTTAGAGTAGAATGAGGAGTTGATAACTGTCTACAGAAATCTGTCTGCTTTGTGCCTATTATGCACAATTACATTCAATAATTATAGACCAAAGAGGCAACAAAAAAGAAACTCACATTTCATCAAATGACAGTTTGGTTAATCATTTTAAAATCCCACCTACTTAATGAATGTAGATTTAGCATTCATCACTATTAACTGGTTAACATGTGCTAGATCTTTTTCATTAGATCATGAAGCTTCTTTAAATCTTAGATTTAATAAACTTTATCATATGGAAACTAAGGATAAAAATAGTAATGCTAATAGCAATTAATATCCTTCTACTAAATATTAATTAAATTTTATTAAGTAGGACAAGCTTTTTTAAAATGGTGGCTTGCCTCTGAGCAATAATCTGCATACAGATAAAGAAGCTGGATTAAGTATACCTGAGCTTTCATTCCAGTTCTGACATGTTTTGCTTGGATGACCTTGTGTAAGTACTTACCCTTTTTAAGTCTCATTAATGAAATTAATAAAAAAACAATTTCTTAGGACTATATTAAAGGTTAAATAAGAAAATGTGGGAGACTGAATGTTGTTGCTGTTGTTGGTAGGTCCCATCAAGTTGAACCCAACTCAAAGCAATCCTATGTACTACAAAACAAAACACTGCCCAATCATGCACCATCCTCACAACCCTTATGATACTTAAGCCCATATTTGCAGCTACTGTGTCAATCCATCTTGTTGAGGGTCTTTCCCTTTCTCGTTGGCGCTCCACTTTACCATGCATAATATCCTTTTCCAGGGACTGGTCCCTTCTGACCATATGATCAAAATAGGTGAAATGAAGTCTGGCCATTCTCACTTCCAAGGAGCATTCTGGCTGCACTTCCAGGATACATTTGTTCATTCTTCTGGCAGCCCATGGTATTTTCAGTATTCTTCACCAGCACCACAATTCAAAGGCATCCATTCTTTGGTCTTCCTTATTCACTGTCCAGCTTTCACATGCATATGAGGTGATTGAAAACACCATGACTTGGGTCAGGTGCACCTTTAGTCTTCAAAGTGACATTTTTCATTTTTTTTTTTTTTTGGCATCTCTGGGAGTTAAGATCTGGGTACTAAACTACATCTAACTCCTTGCACTGCTGCTTTGCAATAAATAATTTTCTCTCCTCTCAATCTCAGTGTGTAACTGTTTTGGCCTGACTGCGCACTGAGCAGGGACCTGAGTTTGGTCCGATAACACTTTCACCAAAACACAATATTCTCTCTCCCTCCTGCCTCTAAACTCCTTCATCTGCTTTCTCTTCCCATTTCCTCTTGTATTCTGCCATGGTCACTATACTGCCATCTAACCTAAAGATGGTTGAAGGAGACATCTGAGTTCAATAGTAAAACAAAAATACCCAGTAGTATTCAGAAAGGAAGGAGCTCTGCTGGCTGAAATCATTAAGGACTTGGCTGCTAACTGAATGGTGTGAGGCTAGAACCTATCCAGTGGGTCTCTGGGAGAAAAGACCAGGTGATTTGCTCCTGTAATGATTTACAGCTCAAGAAGCCCCTTGGAGCAGTTTTATTCCATCCTATAGTATTCCAGAAGGCTGGCAGTTCAAACCCACCAGCTACTCCTCGGATGGAAGATTGAGCAATCTACTTCGGTACAGATACCACTTCATAAACCCAAGGATGGGTCACTATGAGTCAGGATTGACTCAACAGCAGTGAGGTTTTTTTTTTTTTTTTTTTTTTTCTTTTTATAAGATTGCTATGAGTTGGAACTGACCAATTGACACACAATAACAACTAGAACATTCAGAAAAGTTTTAAGTCAAAGGTAGTTGATTGCAAATGTGAGCAAATGATTTATTTTCTGAATTCAGAAATATCACTTGGAGAAGAAGGTTTCTCCAGTATTTGTGTCACTCTCTGAGAAATAAACATGATGTACTCTACTTACACTTCAGCTGCATGATAAAACAAAAAAGAAAAGAAAGCAAAGATCTAAAAGTTAACTGCTGTCAGTCATTGTCCCTGGAAACAAGTTTGAGGGCAACTGTGGAGAACAAACACCTAAGTGTAAATTGCCCTTTTTAGATATGCAATCAATCTCAAGTGGAGTATGACAGCTAAAGTGGATTAAGGCCCTTATGATGTAACTAAACAAAAAGGATTTAAGATTTATATACAAGGAATTATAAAACTACTGGAATATATAAAACAAAGCATGACTAAATTGCGAGATATACTCTAATCATGTCTAAGACCCAATATTGTAAAGATGTAAATTCTTTCCAAATCAATCTGTAAATTCCATGCCATTCCAATCAAAATCCCATTAAAGTTTTCTTGCAGAAAAATTACCAAGATTATACTCAAAGTCATACTGAGGAACAAAGTATAAGCAAGATGATTCTAAAGAATAAGAAAAAGAAGATGTGGTCTTAACTTACCAGATTATCAATAGACTACAATAATAAAATCAAAGTGGAATTCAGGCAGAAATACATCAGTGGACTACAATAAATAGCCCTGAAACAGCCCAATTTAAATAATAAAATTTACATAACAAAGGGGATTGGAATAGTTCAGTAATTGGTGCTAGCATTGACAACAACAACATTGACTATGAATAGAGAAAATGATAAAATTACATCTTTTTTTATTATGGCTGGAGCTCTGGTGGTGTAGTTGATGCCTAAGGCATTTGACTGCTAACCAGAAGTCTGGTGGTTCAAACTCAACAGCCACTCCTTGGAAGGAAGGTTGGCCAATCTACTTCTGTAGAGATACCACATTGGAAACCCAAGGAGGGGTCACTATGATTTGGATCTGACACCACGTCAGTGTGTGTGTGTGTGCGCGCACGCGCGTGTGGGTAAAAGTCTACAGAGCACATTAGTTTCATTCCACAATTTGCATACATTTTATTTATTAATTTTTATTGTGATTTTGGTGGAAAGTTTACAGACCAAATTCATTTTCCATACAGTAGTTCATACACATTTTGTTTCATGACCTTGACTGCAATTTCCCACAGTGTAACAGCTCTCTTTCCACTTCCTCCCCATAGTTATGTCTTCCCTGTGTCCTTCTTCCTATACATTCCTGTCCCCAGAGCTATCTCCCTGTGCAAATACTGCCCTTCTGTGTCCCACAATTGATTGATCACCCTAAGGAGTGTTATCCACCTGATGTAAATGTTCACCTCATATACCTGTCTATTGTTTGACTGGAAGCTATAGTAGTGAGTTCAGTTCCAGACCTTCATGAAGGGTAACTAGGGCCATAGTCTCGGGGATCTCACCAGGCTCTATCACCCTATCAAACCAGTAAACCTGGTCTTTTTAAAA